CACAATAACATTGACAAATACATAGTTTAGGAAGAGCCTGCCTGAAAATATACAAAATAAGCAAATGGTTGTATAGAATTGACAACACCAACCACTCTGTCGAGTTTAAATAGCGGCAAATCAGCTGCACTTCATAGTAGTTGGTTGAATAAGGAAAATGAATTAGAAACAAGAGTTTACGGGATGTACATAGCTCAGTGGTTAACGCTTCTGGCTTTGAACATCGAATTCGCAGGTTCGATCCCTGCATAAGTCTAGAAAAAAGAAGTCTGATGAAGAGATGTGGTGATCTCCGAAATAGCTACTATAACTTCTACCGCTTAGACTTTGTTGCTTTTCAATTTTTCCTAATAAACAATCGTGGTACCAAGCTCAATCAAAACCGAGTTACCGTGTACCAAGCTCGGTGGGAAGAACCCTATTACGAATTTGATTGCTCAGAATTGAAAAATCAGTACAAATCAGTACAAATTTAAAAAAATCAGGACATTAGCGTACTGATTGATGGAATGAATAAAATCAGTACGAATGTTGAAAAATCAGTACTGAACTGATAAAATCAGTACGTCTGGCAACCGTAAACGGGGTTAGATCGCCGAAACAAAAGCCGTTGGTCTGGTAAAACCGTAGTCATTCCAGTACGTAGAACCGGCAGTCGTGGTTTGGTACCAGTCGTCCCATCTGATTCCACATTGACACAGCAGGACCATCGGTCGAATGTAGAGCAAGAAGTATCAGTGAAACAAAACTGGCTGCAGCAAGAAAAAGAGTTCCAAGAGTTTGTTAAAAAAGCTACTTGAAGGCAACCATCCTCTGATGCTTAAACAAAGATTCTTTAATGACCAAACACCAAATTATTTTAACAATACACTTTAGTTCTTAGAAATATACAATAAAGGACTGCAAATGTTGAACTATAAAACATAGCGACATGTGTCATATCATGCAAGTGCCAGTTCATATTATGTCGCTGTTTAAGCGACTTATGCATTTCCCGCATAAACAAAGAACAGCGAACACACACACGCACTTGTATGTGTGCTTAAAAATAATTCGTTCGTTCTTCATTGGGTATGCATTTTTTAATGCACTTCTCAACTGCCGCAGAACAAAACCTACTAAAGTAGTTAATTGCTGGCACTCCAAATCATGCTCAACAAATTCGCTTGATGCATCACAACTCTTCCGGAGTTGCT